TGCTTATGTTTGGATCCGTCGTGGATTGTCATCCTTCACTGTCTCTTGGACTCTTGGAGACTCCAAAATATTTGCGGCTAACTGTGGGGTTTTTAGTGGGATCAACATTCCGATCTCGCCACTCCTAAGCACTCCTAAGCAGTCGTCGGAATGACGTCGTCGAGGAGTGAGAATTTTCACCGGGCTCGGCATCTCCTAAAGCGGTAATCCGAGCAGGCGCGCGAGGCGACGCCCGGCGGCCAAGCCAATGATGAGCCGACTGAAACCCGCGACGAGGCTATTGAAACCCCAGAGCATTCCCCGATGGCTGGGGGATTACGGGCGGAAAAACCAGCCGGGTCAGATTTGATGGCCGTTGGTTGGCCGTTGATGGCTGACCGTTCTATCCACAGCGTTGCCCGCATGAACCGGAGAATGACCAGTCAATCTCCTCCAAATCCAACATGAGCTGACTCGGGCCCGCATCTGTTATGTTGGTTCAGTGACCTCTTGCTGCGCAAAAAGGCAATGAAGCCGACGTTTGGCCCTCTTGGCGCACAAAAATCTGCATCTTTGAACCAGCATCATATGCAGGCTGACGTATTCGGACACTCGGCGGTTGATCCCCAGAGTCCGTCATCCTTGGTCTCTCAAGTCTCTAGCCATTGCGAGCTCTTTGGCGGTTTGCCATCATCACCGAAATTGGTCAAATGCGCGAGAAAGAAACAAAAACATTGCCGATCTCTTTACCAATGGCCTGGTTCATCCAGGGCTGTCAAAGTGTCAAATTCCTGGCAGAACGTGGTTTCCATGTTTTCGCTTACGCACTAATTTGCGTCTGTTGATAAACAAAAACTCTCGTCTTGTGAAAAGATCTCCATCACTTCGTATCCTATCAGGCATCGACCATCGACCGAACGAGGCAAGACCCTGAGTCCCTGACTCTTGGACGGTTGTCTGAGCCGGTTGGACTCCACATCTCAGGTGAGTGATGCCTGACGCGAGGATAAACCGGGCCCACGTCCAATGTCTCTGAGAGGCACAGGATCAATGAGAGGGATAAATGATAGAGCAGAAGGGAGAGACGTCCATCGGGGGAAGGCAACACCGAGTTTGCTGGCTTTCAACTGACCAGAGACCGGTCGCGCATCATGCATGTCTGTGATGTTGATGGGATTTGAACCCATGAATCTTTCTCCACCGGGCAATCCGAGCAAATTGTTAAGACTGACATGAACTTGGTGCCAGACCATCGGCTTGACCCTCAACGCCGTTGGTGCGTACCGGTGCCGGTTGTGGGAGGAGGCGGAAAGGAACGGCCAACGGGATGCCTTCGCCAAGCGGCAAGGCCATCGCCGGTCCGGAAAATTCTGCATCCTCGGCCCCACACCGAGCCACCAAGTTTTATGAAGTTCGGGTGGAGTCCGAATCCTTGTCCAGAGCCCTAAAGTTGCTCCAAGCTCCTGAGGCAGCCGACGTTGGAGTTTGACTGGAGTCTGGAGATGAGGAGGACGCGGCAGACGCGAATGCGGGAGGACTTGGAGCCTCAGGCGCGAAATGAAAGGTGGCCAACTCCAGTCTCCGACAGACAACAACGAACCTGTGGCCCTTCGTCACCTCCGACACAATGGAGCCGACGGCAGACGGTCTGCCCACGAACCACTTAAGATGAGCACGCTGGGGAACCATCATGTGACAGAGTGGCAAGCTGCCTAAACTGACCTCCAAACTGCATCTGTATGGACGGGCTTTCGTCGGCCCTACAGGCGTTATCTGGATGCGCCAAAAGCCTCACTTCTGCAGTCACTTCTGCGGTCTGCATGTAGAATCGCGGGGCTTGCGGGCGCCGCGCGGGCGGGAATGGCGTGCGCCTGGCTAGGGGCTGTTTCTCTCGCCCAAAACGATGACGTCTGTGGTCGGCCCGTCCCACTTTGTCGGTTTTGAGCCGGGCGGACGATTTGGTCGGATTCTTGGTCTCTGGAGGCAATGCGATTGTGGTGTCGGAAGCAGGCCGAGGTGAGTATAGGTGAGCGTTGACAGATATCTTTTCCTTGACAACAGCTCGCTTTTGACTGGTCGTCTTTCAAAGAGCCTCCTGTTTCACCCAGGGATAATTACCACGGAATTTACTCCGGGTGGCAAAGCTGACCGCTCCATTGGTAACAAGGCCTTACGGCGTAGATGATAGGCTTCACCGCAATGATGTCTAGGGGTAATAATTCTAAGTTGCGCGCTTAGAATAAAATCATTTCATCAGGCCTTCTTTCTCATCGAGTATCATTTCAGCCTGAGAGGTGCCACTTGGGCACCAAATAAGAGTGGTCATCGCTGGATAGACACATCAAACCCATAGCTGGCTGCTGATGCTCTCACCATTTCGATTGCAGTCAGACATACTCATGTAAGCACCCTGGTCGACATATCAACTCGCGGTTCTCTTTTGAAAAAGGTTGAAGTCGAGACCATTCGCAGCTCCAACAAAGACGACCCGTCGTTCGAAGCTCCCCGCCTACGGCACGCACCGGCCAAGGTCCCGTTGAATAAAGATATTGCGGGTCCTCCACACCGACGTCACCGAGTCCTTTTCGGCATCATGGGTCCATGCCTTGGCTCATTGGGTGGGGATTAAAACTTCGACTTCAAGGTCTCGTTGACTGTGAAGGGCCTACGTCACCAAGGAAAAGTCGTAAAGCAGTGGAGTGCCAGCATTGTGGTATGGCGGTTGCTCAACTTGGTAACTCAATCGAATGCAGCGGTCGTTGCTAATTGTTAATGTGAATTAAGCATTGTCAAAATCACAATGAAATTCCTTGCTCATTTTTTGTAAATTTCATTGCAACAAATATTTACCATGAACCTCAAGCAGGATGCCCCACGTCAAAGTAGGTATATGAGTCTCTGCAATGGCATTTGCTAGTTTCTGGTACTCTCGCACCTCTCACACTCATCCATTTGTTTCACTCTATGACATTCAAAAATAGTTTTGCTGCTCCGGCAATGAGCCATGAAAACCTCATACCAGCATAAAAACACTAGTTGCGACGCGTAACTCATCAACTGCCTCGAATCCCACTGTGGAAAAGGTAACACATGAACCTTACTAGTTGGTGTATGAGCATTGAGTGCTATTCTATTCCCGACTTTCGTATACGTTGGAACAGGCAAAAGCTATGAAATTGCGATACGACGAGGCAGTCTGATTGTCCATCGAGGTTGGGAAAGAGAGATAAGACGAATAGTCCGGTTGCAGTGGCGCCCCGTGCGCCATCAGTGACCCAGCGCTTTCAAGAAACTCGGGGTACCTGATGAAGAGCCGAGGATCGAGTTTGTATCTGTCTAGTCGGGTCTCAATTCGTAGATGATTCGCAGCGGCTAAGGCAACCCTCGGCACGTTAAAAATGTCAGTGACCTTCGATGTCGGCAGAGGCGCCGGTCTCTCGCTGGAGTCCTCATCAATGGCCCCCATCGCTTTCACGAGATCCATGACCTTAACGTACACCTGCAGAGGAGGTGCGTCGATGACCAAGTCGCTGAGGAGAGTCTCTAAAGCGTACATACTGACGAGATCGCTGACGACTTGATCGATGCAAGGGTTACCCGCACGGTAGCGAACGAGGCAATCACGGATGGAGGGGAAAGGAAGCCAGTCAATGAAGGCAGGATAGCTGCATGACAGCTGCAGCAGAGTTGGCTGGTACGCGGGTGGAGCTTGTTGAACGTTTCCTCGCAAGGGCGGATTTTCCACACAGTGATGTCTCGGGTATAATAGAACCTCGTTTTAGTATACCAGAGCATGACATCCTGCCGAGAAATAGTGTGAAATATGGATAGAGCCGAGGTAGTGGCTAAATAAAGCCTAAAGCCCGTTAGCTAAGAAAGACCCTGGCGAGGGATGAGATGACATTTGACATTGCTGACAATGGTAAAGATAACTGCACCTTGGGTTGTTCTGTCCTGGCTTTGAGCTCGTGTTGAATGAAATCAATGTGGTCAGAGAATGATGAATTTGACTCGACCCATATCTGGCGCCGCGAGTGGCCCAAGTCCTGGGAAGAAACCAGGGCGTCATTGTAAACTTGAGGCCCCATTTGTATTCGAAAGGCCAAATGTTTGGTATTTGTTGTGTCATTCCACAGGCGATCATGGGTCCTCCGAGGTCGGATGTAGGTAGGAGGCCAGCTTCGAGGCATGGGCTTGGCTCGTCTGGCTGCACTGTCTGCTCCTAGCCATTTAGTTATTTCTAACTTTACGCACACAAATAGCCAAATTTGCTAAACATACCGATGCATCATTTTGGGGAATTGGTCGGAGATCTGCCGACGTGGGCTGATCGTCCACAATGGGTTGAGAAGCAGAGACGTTATCATCAGGGGAGTTTGTTCTAGAGACTTCATTATTTGCGTCTTCATGTCTCGGAGCCGTGTTTAAAACCAGAGCTTCGATGCCAACGAGTAAGCTATTGAGCTTGGCGTGCGCTTCCGCGAGTTGCTTCCGGAGAGCTGCATTCTCACGTCTCAATTTACCCAAAGCTTCGCTCTCATTTGTGTGATTGTTATCCGCTCGTTCGCGGAGCTCGCGGATCAGGTCATCCCTGCGTCGACGGTATGCCTATTGCGACAAGCGATTGCGCAGTTTCCTAGGTCGAAATGTTAATTTGCAATGGCGCCGGATTTATTCCTTCCGAGAACGAACTTGATGTCCTGAGAGGTTGCGGTGCCGTTCGCCTTCTTGCCCATCGCATCTATAGAGAGCTTGTCAAAGACCTCAGGTGGGATGGGACGGAAGAGGAGGTAATGTCGAGAATTTCTACTGGAAACGTATGACTACAGTTCCAATGACTAATTCCCCACACGAAACATTTCTTCCTCCCACCACATGTCCCTTGTCAAAGTTCAACTGAATTACTTCTTATTGGCCGTGCTCGAATGCGCTATGTTGCTACCTTGACTTAGTCTTTTATAACTAGTGATCAATGCATTTTGTCTTAGAAGAAGAAGCCCCAAGCCGGTCTTCGTCAACCATTAATTCCCAAAAACAGCCCGCATCTCCGACAGGGAAGCTTCAGACAATGTTTTCAAAGGCCGTCGGGGGCTGCCTCCGTAGCCGAGCAGCTCGTTCAGCGCGGCTTTTGTACCCGATATCCCTCGCGCGGTATGTTCCCAGTCGCCTTTAGCCAGAATGGCCTGCATCTCTCTCGCTTCCTCCACTAGGCCCTCTTGCCACAAATCGAAAACTTGAACGCAGGTCCGCGGGGTAACGTTTGCACCGCCTGCAATGACACCAGTGGCACCTGCAACAAGAGCAGGAAGGATGAAGTCTGCCAAGCCACCAAAGAGGGCGTAAGACTGGCGGGACTTCATCGCCGCGGAGACGCGACTTAGTTTACCAGTATCACCACAGGTGAACTTCGTCCCCGCAATGTTGGGGTGCTGGGAGATGCGGCTTAGAAGGCCCGAGTCCATCTCGATGCCAGCAGATACGGCAGGAAAGCTATAGAGAATAATCGGAACCGGGGAGTGATCCGCGACGTCGGTAAAGAAACTCTCAATGACTTCAGGGCTCATGCCTTTACTGAAGTAGGACGGCGGTAGAACGAGGGCGTAGCCACTACCAGCTCGGCTGGCCTCGTTGCAGAGATGAACGGTTCCTCGAACGGAGTGTTCGGAGCAGCCGGCAATGATAGGAGTCTGCTGCTTTCCAATGCTGTCGAGGGCACTGCGGGTTTCACGGATGATGGTATTCCGCTCCTCGATAGAAAGGTGAGGTGCCTCGCTGTTGGAACCCATGACCACAAAACCAGCGATCCCCGTTTCAGAGAGGCGGATAGTGTGTTGACGCTGAGTTTGCGTATCGATGTGTTCGGTTGTCTTGTCTAAGAAGGACATGCTCGCGGCGAAGATGCCACGAGGCAACGCCCGTGTAGCGCGTTCCATGCTGTAGTCTGTGTAATTCGAAAAACAACGGATGCCGAGAGATGATGAAGAGGAATCCGAACGTCACTATCTAGTATATAATCGTGACTATTAGGATTATTCATGAAGGAATTCGTAAGCGACGCGAGTATGTCATTGATTGATGACCAAATCTCACCTAGTTTCAGCCAGCACCGCACAATTCGCCTCGTCTTCCGCACGTTAGTCATTGCAGCAGTACGTAAGTCCGACTGCCGATTATTTTTCTACGAATAATGCTCGCGAAGTGGTCAGCCTTAGGTTGCCATAGTTCTATGCTATAGGCCGCACCGTCACTTTCAAATTACGTTAGTCATTCAAGCAGTGCGTAAGTCTAATGATTGTCATGGTTGCATTTTGTGAAGAATTCTTTTGTGAATTTTTATATGACTAGGGACACATAAGAGGTCCCCCTTACTCTAACTACCCCCTATATATTTAGTAAACTACCCCTATTAACTACTACTACGTTATAGTAATTATATATATATCTTTAAGTTCTTTTAACGGGGCGCTATGTTTTAAAACTATAAGATATTTAATTTAATTAACGTTATATAGTTTATTTATTTCAAAGTGTGTTTTAATATATTTAATGTATTTCTATATTTTAATTTAATAATATATCGTTTTAATAAAGTATACTAGTAAAAGGTAGTAATATATTTAATATATTATTAAACTTTATATTAAAAGATTAGTGTTACGGTCAGCTATCCGACAGTAGGGTCTGCTAACAGAAGCTGGGGATTGAGACGTAATAACAGTACACTTGGTCGTGGTCTGGGTCGTAGGTCGTAGGCTAACAGTAGATCAGATCTTCAGAGGCTAAGGTGATCAGTCTTAGACTCAACAAGTAATTCGCAGTGAAGGTAAGCTGAGAGTATCCTGAGGATAAATACTAAGTTGATTGCTGAAGAGCTATAGAAGTCTGACTATAAGCCAGGCTCAGGTCATACTATATATAAGTTCTGCACAGTATCTCTTGTGGTGGCTATATAGGATATCCATGCTATCTAACATATCCATAGATAGCTGGGATAGCGGACATATCCAATATATCCATCTTTGCCCTATATCCATGCTGTTCCCGAAGTCATGTGAACTATACTATAGTTCTTCCTTTCCCGATAGTTCCTGGTTACACCTGTGTTACTGCTTACATATGTTCTGTGTTAGCCGCCGAGATGCTAGGCGGGGCTGTTCCAACGTGTTATGCCTGTTAGGTCGTAACATCAGGTCTCCTCTCCAAAGGTCTTATCCTCAAGACCCAGCATAAGTAGGTTGTTGGTCCCAGGTTGGGGATCCATCAATTATGCTTTCTGATTTACCCATAATGCTGACACTATGTCAGGTTGCGTTCAGAAACAAAAGGCTGTGTCGTCGCCTGATAGTCGTCCTGCCAAAAAGACAGTTGAAAAGAATTCTTTACTTTCCGCCATTCTTCAGCGTTCTGTCGTCATGCCTGTTTGCTCGTCTTGCGAGCGTCGCAGCTTCTCGTCGTGTGAGGTTTCTCCCTTGGATTCTTCTTGTTGTGCTGAATGCGTTCACGGCGGTAAATCCTACTGTGACCTCTAAGGTCTTTCTGCGCAACAACTCCAGCGTATCGGGGATCAACACCAAAAACTTGAGGATGCCTTGGAACAGGCTGAGGAGGAACGTCGTGCTCTAGACGCTAAGGTCGAGCGTCTTTGCAAACAGAAGAAGATGTGGTTTGAGAAGATGATGCGTGCGGTGCGTCGTGGTATCGATAGTGTGGAGGAGCTGGAGCGGGTGGAACGGGAGGAGGCAGAGGCGGAGCAGCGTCGGCGGGAGGAGGCGCGTCCTTCTTCTGCTGGTTCTAACCATCTTCCTGTGGATTTTGTCGGAGATTAGGATACGGTTTGTCCCGATATGGCTTTATCTCCTTCCTTGTTGGCTGAGTTTGGGTTACTTAACTCTGTTCCTGTTGTTGCAGAACAGGGTTCTCTGGGGGTGTCCTTAGGAAGCAGTTCTTAGTTGGTTTCTGGTGTTCCTAGGCGAATAAATAGTTTTCCTTATTGCAGTTGATCTGCTTTAGTGGGTGGTTTAGTGAAGCGATATAGGTGCTTAATTTGCTTATATCCAGCGTTCTTCTGGACTAGTATAACAGGTGCTAGTGTGACTTCTCATTCTTAGTGTTATTGCTAGTAGATCGTAAGTTCTTCTGCTGCGTTGGTGATATTTTTGGCTGGTTCCTATATATTGTCTTTATATCTATATCCTTTCTATTTAATAAGGTATTAATACCCTTCTAGCTCCTTAAGGTGGTCTATAATTCGTTCTACTTCATACTCTGGTTTATTATCTTCCATAATGATGAGGTTATCCGTTTATAAACCTCGTGGGGCTGGTTCGAGTAGTGAGATGTGAAATACTAGGTGACACTTCATAGTTCCCAGGAGTTTGAGTTCATAATTAACTGGTGAGATTACTCATGAGATTTTAAAGGGTCTGAGTTTTTTGTAGTTAAGTTTGTCGCTTAGTTGTTTTGTTTTGATGTTTCGCCGTATGAGGTAGGCGCTATCTCCCTCTTTTAAGGTTGGTCCCTCAATCCTTTGTTTGTTGCTAAACTTAGTCATTCTTTGTCGTACAAATTTAAGTTCCTGTTGTGCATTTTTCTGGATATCCTTGATCTGTCGTACTGAGGCGACAGCTTTTACTGCGGCTAGGCCTGCTCAGGGTTCTCTATAGGCGGTTGGTTTGAATCTATAGTTAAGGTAGAAGGGGGATTCCTTGGTGCTTTCTCTAATTGCGCTGTTGTAGGCGAATTAGGCTATTAGTAGCATTATAACCTAATTGTCTTAGTTGTAGTTGATATAGGCGTGGAGGTAGGTTTCGAGGATTTAGTTGATTTATTCTGTTTGTCTATCGGTCTGCAGGTGGAACGCAGTGGATATTAACTGCTTAATGCTGAGGTGTGACATAATTGATTTCTAGAAATTCAATATGAAGATCTTATCTCTGTCTGACATAATTTCCTTAGGTGTTCTGTGGTTAGAGATGATATACTTGAGGAATATATAGGCGTATTCTTCAGCATTGCTTGCTTCCTTATATAGGATGAAGTAGGCGTACTTTGTGGGTTGGTCTACGATAACGAGAATGCTGTTAAAGTGTACTCCCATAAGGGGCTCTTGTGACTTCAGTAGTTTGATGATAAAGTCGAGGGATATAGATTGCTAGGCGGTTTGCAGCATAGGCAAAGGTTGTAGCATACCTTAAGGTTGATGTCTAGCAGGTTTGCTTTTGAGGCAGACCTTATAATCCTTAATCGCTTTTGCCACACGTTCTCTAGTGACCTTTTCTCTATATTGTTGTTATAGTTGTTTCTAGGTTTTTGTGATACCTTAGTGACTGTGTGCAGGGCGAGCATGAAATTCCATGATAGCTTTATCGTCTAGTTTGCTAGTCAGGCTAGTACTAGACCGCCCAGCTATCATCAAGAGTTTGGTTGCTAGCATGAGGTCTCTGTCGTTGTTTCCTTTGAGAATCACCTGGGTTTCTTTAGGTACCAGGACGTTGTAGTCCAGCCTTCGGCTAAGAGCGTCAGCTCTGCTATTGTCTGATCCTTTGCGGTGGATGATTTGGAAGTTGAATTCTGATAAGAATTCTAACTATCTAATCTGTCTTTTATTCAACACTTTCAAAGTTATGAAGTGTGAAAGGTTCTTATAATCTGAATACACAAGTACTTTGTGGATGGTTCCTGAGAGCTTAGGTCTCCATTCCTTAAAGGCTTTAATGATTGCTATGAGTTCCTTATTGTGGATCTAATAGTTGAGTTCAGGTCTGTGGAGCTTGCGAGAGAAGAAGGCGCACAGATGTAGTCATCCTTCTGAATCTCGTTAAGATAGTTGCGCTCCAATCGCATAGTCGGATGCGTTGGGCTCTACTTCGAACTGCTTTGTTAGATCTGGAATGACCAAGACGGGCTCACTAGCAATAAGGTCCTTGATCTTCTGAAATGCTGTTTGTTGTGGTTCTTCCTATATAAAGGGCGTGTCTTTGCAGCTGAGGTTTGTGAGAGCTGCGTTGATCTTGCCATAGTCTTTGATGAATTTGCGGTAGAAGTTGACGAAACCTAGGAATCCTTATACTTCCTTGAGGTTGTTAGGTACCAGCCACTCCTTGATGGCTTTGACTTTGTTTTCTGACATGCAAACTTTGCTGGGGGTGATGGTAAATCCGAGGTATTCCACTTCTTGTGTGTGAAATTCGCTTTTCTCAGGTTTGACCAACAGCTTGGCTTTTTGGAGGGCTTATAAGACGTGGTGCACGTCTTCTTTATGTTTTTTAAGTGTTAGTGAGAAGATGAGAATGTCGTTGAGATAGACTACTACATAAATATCAACATACTTGCGTAGGACTTAGTTGATTATGTTCTGAAAAGTTGTAGGGGCGTTAGTAAGGCTGAAGGGCATGATGAGATATTTGAAATATCCTTTTCGTGTCCTGAAGGCGGTCTTCTATTCTTCGCCTTGCTTCATTCTGATCAGGTTGTAGGCTCCTTTGAGGTTGAGAGCTGTAAACCAGTTGGCTCTGTGGAGGAGTCGTCTTATTTCGTTGATGAGTGGCAGTGGGTAACGATTTTTAATCGTTATTTTGTTAAGCATGCAGTAGTTGACGCATAATCGTAGTTTTCTGTTCTTTTTGGGTATGAATAGGATTAGGCTTCCTGCTGGTGACGTTAAGGGTCTGATGTATCCCTTCTTGAGGTTTTCTTCAAGGTATTTGTCTAGAGCTTCTATCTCTGTCTGGTTGAGTCTGTAGATTTTGTTGAAGCGTGGTTCCTTCCCTTTTTTGAGGGGTATTTCGTGGTCGAAACTGGTGTGTTCAGGCAGTCTGGTTTCTAATTCGGCTGCAAAGAGTTTCTCGTAAACTCTGTATTCTTCTGGGATAGACAGAAGTGGATCATTCTTTTGTTTAAGATCTGTCGTTGTTAATAGTTATGACGTGGCTTCTTTTGCCTTGAGGTAGCAGATGTATCGTTTTGCTGTTTCTTGCTGTATCAGCTCGTTTGAGGCCTGGTTTTGACAGGGCTGCTCAGGGACTGAGTCGTCATGGTCCTAATGGAGTTGGCCTTTGCTCCAATCTATCCGTGGGTTGCTTATTCGTAGCCAGGGTAATCCTAGCACTATGTCGTATGTTCCTAGATCGGCAATATCGAATTAGATTCTTTCTTTTCGATTCAGGTAGCTCATCTCGAGGGGTGCAGTCTCATTATAGATAGTACCTCCTTCATACTTGAATTCTTCTCCTTCTGCTGTGTGTAACTGATAGGGTCGCTCTTTTCCTCCCTATTATACTTCTAGCCTGTTGGTGGCTTGAGGGGCGATGTAATTAGCTTCAGCTCCGCTGTCGATTAGCGCAAGTGTCGTTTGCTGGTTGATAGTAACTTCGAGTTCGATATTACCCTTATGTCCTTGTGACATCTGGTGGATAAACCTTTTTCTTGTTGCCTGTCGTGGTTCTTCGTCAGTAGGCGAGTCTAGTTTTTTGACTGCTCTGAGTGTCCTGGGTAGGTGATTTGCTTTCCTTCCCGTCGTGCTTTTGTGAGGCTGTTCTCGCGGATCTTAACTTATGGAGGTCTGGGTCCATTCTTCATGACTCTCCAGGCGCGTGCCTTTTCTTAGTAGTGAACTTAGCATTCGTCCCACTTCATGTCGTTATCATGTTGACGTCTCATAGGAAACTGAGGGCTAGGTCTGAAGACTGCGAGGTTATCTTTAAACAGTACTATGGTCTATCTGATCATAGCAGATATCGAGTAAATCTTACGGATAGGCTTGTCGTTATGTCTTCTGGGGTAGAATTAGTAGTCATGCTTTTCTCCTATATGTTCTTTGTATTTGTCGTGGAAACACTAGGACCAGAAGAGGGTTTGGTGAAGTTGGTGGTTATTTCTCAGCGTGGGGTGGTCTTCCGTATATAGCTGAGGGATGTAGTCCCAGTCTCATTAGGCTGCTGAGGTGCTATAGAAGTGGCGTTATTACTTATCTTGAAGCATGTTGATTTCCTGGTACTTCAGGAGTTGCTTAATTCTGTCTTCCTGGTCGTCAGGTCCCTCTTCAGAGCTAGAGTCGTCCATACTGGGGGTGAACCCATAGGTGATCTCTGTCTGAGCACGTCGTCAGGCAACGTCGCGAGGTTCGTCCGAGTCATAGGGTGAACTTTCGCCTTCTCCAAAAGTCCAGTTGCTGGTCATACTGAGAAGTTGTTGTTCTGTCAGAGGATCATGCTGATATTCTGGTTCTTCCTCTGATTCTTGTTGGCGTAGATGCGTTTGTCAGGCATCTTCCTGCTGGATTAGTTCTATTTCTCTCTGGATTTGTTGTTCTTCGTAGCAGGACTGTTGGTTATTCACATGTGAGGTGATTAGTTCTAGTCGCTGGATTCGTAGCATCTCATTAAGTTGTTCAACTGGTTTTCTAGCAACTCTGCTGTTGCTGGAATGCATTATTGCCAGGGTTCTAGGGCGAGTATCTGGGGCACTTATGTTGTATCCGGATCGTCCAGGGTTGCTGTCCCTTAGGTAGTGTCCTGATATTTCTTTATCTTCGAGGTGGATCCAGCAGTCGTCGTCGTAGCATCCAGTCTAAGACTGGGATGCGTGTGGGGCTTTTGCAATCGTGTTGACTTGTCGAGGTCGTTCAGCTACTGGTTTCCAGGGAAACTTCTTAGGTTGTCTGCAGTCTTTAGCAATATAGCCTTGCTTGTTGCAGTTGTAGCACTTAGGGTTCTAAGGCTTCCTGTCGTTAGGTTTAGTTATCATGCTGAGATCTATAGGTCTGCTGTGTTGTCCGTAAGCGGTGCTTTGTCGATTGTTGTTCCAGTTGCTGCAGGGTCTGTTGTCGTTCCGCTGGTTGTTGAACTTATGCTGGGGTTGCCACTAGTACTTACGTCCCGTGTTAGGTCCTTGTCGTTTTTCGCCCTTTTCTTTGCGTCGTTCGAATAGCCTGTTGTCAATCTTGATTGCAAGGTCGGCGTACTAAAGGAAGTCTTTAGGGCGATCGATCTTAACGATTTCATCCTTAACTTCGTCTTTAAGTCCCTGATAGAACATAAAGATCTTGGTTTCCTTAGTGAGGTCGAGCTGAATGCTAAGCTGTCTGAATATAGCGGCGTACTCCTTGGTTGACTTAGTCTGTCGTAGTTATGCGAGATCTCTTTCAGCTTGTCGTTTTTCGTCAGGGTCCTAGAAGAGAGATCGTAGGGCATCTTCGAATCCCTGAAAACTGCTGTAGATGTCTTAGGTCTCAGTGGAGCATTCGTCCAGGGTTTCATACTTGAGGAATTCTTCCTGGATGGGTTCAAACTATTTGAGGGCTTATCCTCGTAGGTAAGTGGCGGCATGGACGACTTTCTCGGTTTGACTGGTGAAGTCTCTATAGTGGAAGTTTTAGTAGTTCTTAACTTAGATCAGGAATGACTTGAGTTGTCCAGGGGTGCCGTTATAGGTGATCGGGGCGCTGAGCTTGAGTTTCTGTCGTCCTCTAGTGGGGGTAGTGACGATGTTAGCAGCGGCCTGAAGGGTGTTGACTTCGTTCTGTAGTTCCTATATGAGAGGGTTGCTGCCTTGTCCTCCTAGGCGAGCGATTCCGTTTTCAAGGTCTGTAAGTCTCTAGGGTCTGTTGCTAAGCTCCTGGATCATCTGTTTGAGGCCCTAGAGTTCGTTAGCGGTTTCGTTATATATAGCCTGGACCTTAGTAATATTGTCGTCTCCTTTCTTAACTCAGGCTTAAAGCTTGTTGTAGGTTTCCTTTTTGAGGGTGACTTCGTCGTCCAAGTCCACTGCTATCGGAGCTCCCTCGAGTTCCTCAGCCAGGCTTTTGACAGGCTGTTTGGAGGAGGAAGAGCTTCCCAGAGTGGGTGACTTAGCGGAGGCGCGTGAAGACATTCTTGTCTGTACTGTTAGTAGGTTTCAATAGTTAACTTACTGAACAGGAGCAATCAAAGTGTTACGGTCAGCTATCCGACAGTAGGGTCTGCTAACAGAAGCTGGGGATTAAGACGTAATAACAGTATACTTGGTCGTGGTCTGGGTCGTAGGTCGTAGGCTAACAGTAGATCAGATCTTCAGAGGCTAAGGTGATCAGTCTTAGACTTAACAAGTAATTCGCAGTAAAGGTAAGCTGAGAGTATCCTGAGGATGAATACTAAGTTGATTGCTGAAGAGCTATAGAAGTCTGACCATAAGCCAGGCTCAGGTCATACTATATATAAGTTCTGCACAGTATCTCTTGTGGTGGCTATGTAGGATATCTATGCTATCCAACATATCTATGGATAGCTGGGATAGCGGACATATCCAACATATCCATCTTTGCCCTGTATCCGTGCTGTTCCCGAAGTCATGTGAACTGTACCATAGTTCTTCCTTTCCCGATGGTTCCTGGTTACACCTGTGTTACTGCTTACATATGTTCTGTGTTAGCCGCCGAGATGCCAGGCGGGGCTGTTCCAACGTGTCATGCCTGTCGGGTCGTAACAATTAGATTATATATATAAAAGTCTATATATTTTATTTTAGTTCTTTTAAGTAATTATAAAGAAATTGTTACTACTTTTGAAGTAGTAATAGATAGTGTTAATATAGTATAGTAATAATATCTTAATATTAAAAAAGTGATAGGTTATAGTAACTTAAAGAGGGAGATATTTACTTTTTAGTAATTTACGTTCTTTTTATATAGCCCTATAGGTAGCTATAGAGGTTTCTCTATAAACTATCCTAGCCCTTAAATATTTCCCTATAAGAGTTATATAGTAGTTAATAAGGTACGCCTCTAGGTAGCAAACTGCGGAAGAAAAGTTAGAAGGGAAGAAAGATTATTATAGTTACTAAGCACTAGCTCTAGCACCCTATCCCATACTTTCAATCCCCATCTAGCTTCAAATATGGTACCCTAACCTAGCTCTACAAACTTATCAAATTAGTTTTCTACCAGTTTATACGTTATAAAGTGTTAACTCTCACTCAAAGCTAGGCGAATACAATGTTAACGATGCCTCTCTCGACCCGAGCCAAATCTGCCGAAAACGCAAGCGACGGCTTGCACATATGGAAGGCTGTGGATGATCTCTTTCATCCTACTGCCAACCCTACGGGCGTTGGAACATTAGGCGTCTTGGAAAACACACTGATGTCCCGAGAGCTATCAGAGCATCTGCACCGGAACTTCAAGCTCCCAAGTCATCCACTCACCTATGGAGATGGCATGACTGGATCCAAGAGGATCAAAGCGACATTAGCGACATTCCTCAACCGTCACTTGCACCCCTCGAAGCCCCTTGAGTCAGCGCATTTTACAATCACAAACGGCTGCAGCTCTGCGATTGAGCACCTTGCCTGGGCTGTAGCAAACCGCGGTGACGCTTTTTTGCTTGGCCAGCCTTACTACAATACCTTTGTTCCAGATCCGATTCTCAGAACTGGTTGCAAGGTCATTCCGGTGGCCTTTGAGAACACCGATCCCATAGACCCTGAGGCAGTTGGTCATTACAGGCGTGCTCTTGAATCAGCAGCCGCAGAGGGCCAGCGAGTCGCAGACTTTCATCATATCGAACCCACATAACCCTCTCGGGAGATGCTACTCTCGCGCCAGTCTCCTGAACCTTATGAGCTTTTGTTCGGAGAACGACATATACTTCATCAGTGACGAAGTATACGATTTGTCAGTCTGGGAAAACAGAGTGGACCAGGGGTCCGACACAGCGCTTTTCGAATCGTGTCTATCACTTAACACAGACGGCGTACTCGCTCCCGACCGAATCCATACAATCTGGGTTATGTAGAAAGACTTTGCGCGAACGGACTGCGGATCGGGGTTGTCATTTCCCAGTCAAATCCGGCTCTGCACAAAGCTTTAGTGGCTGTAGCTCTTTATAGCTCCCCATCTATTGCATCAGATCATATTGCAGCGAATATCCTCGAAGATGAGAAATGGTCAGACACTTTCATCCAAGAAAACAGGACCAGGCTTGCTAGCAGGTGCCAGCTTATCGTGCGCTGGGCGAATAGCCACGGGATTCCCTACGCACCCGGCACGAACGCGGCGTTCTTCCTATGGGCTGATCTCGGGAGTGTTTGGAAGAGGCACAATCCTAGAATTGTAACCGATAAGGAGCTAGATGATTTCCTGATTAAACTCTTCTTGGGCCACAGGGTCTATGTTTCTTCCGGAAAAGACGTCGGGTCTGAGCGCGCTGGATGGTTCCGTACGGTGTTCTCTTAGGACGAAGTTCAGCTACTGACTGGACTGGAAAGGGTCGCTGCTGCTCTCAAGTCTAGAGTAATAGTAAACGTATAGTTTTGACATCAATCGAAAAGTTTCACACCTTTGCAACGTCACGCTGATGTTATATTCGTATTAATCATGCCATACGAGGTGCGCATCATTCCCCTGGTCAAGTAGTCTCTCAAACTTGTTCCGATCCCAGTCGCGCCCCTCGCCGTCGCCGGGCCCGCCCGCCTTCTTCATCTTCCTGGCTATTTTGTTGTGGCTAAAGTCGTCTTCGGGGTCCGAATCAGAGTCAGTCTCGGACTTGTACTCCCAGTTCATATTTCTTCTCATCGCGGACATGTTTGACGGCCCGAGGCCGATCCAGCTGAGCTCTCGGTACCGCTTCTTGCAAAGCGCGAAGAACCCAGCGGGCTCGTACACATTGAATCCAGCGAGCCGCCACTCATTCGCCGGGTCGCCGCGAAACCGCTCCAGGGTGCTGTTCAGCACGGGAGCAGGCTCTTCATGTCCCCCGGTCGGTTCTCCCCAGTAGATATAACTGTCGGCGGTGTCCAGTATGACCTCGTATCCATTTCGGCCCCTGCAGATAGCGACTACGGCGCACGAGGGCGGGAGCGACGGGTCCTGACCAGTGATGGGCGTGACCAGACCTTCAACGCAGTCCTCGCGGATCTTCCTTTGCAAGTCCTCGCTATGGTAGTCAGTGACGGGAGTGTCTTTCATAAGAAACGGGGCCAGGGTGCTGGGAGAGTCAATGTAGGGGATGCAGCGAAGAAGGTCAAGAACAGTGTCGCTTCCCTTGAGGGGGGCTAGGGTTTCTTGGTTGATCGAAGTCCAGCCGCCGGACGGCGCCTGCGCGACAGTAGCGTTCCAAAAGATGCGGTTGCAGAAGTTGTAGTAGTGTTAAGAGACGCACGAATTCGTCTCGGTCGTACGACATGACTGGGAACTGGCGGCCGTTGCAAGTGCAGAGTTTTGGTGGTGGACTGAAGAGGCCTGGGATCGGTTGACAATGGGATTGATCGTGCCCAACCATAGGCCGGGGGGTTTCATAGCTTGGTAGAAGATATGTGGATTAGGCTAAGCCGAACCCATGTCGCAAGATACGAGGGCGGGAGAAGACATGTAAGCCCTCATCAGTGGTTCTTCCATGCCAACTCTAGATGATGTATTCTGATACATCACAGGGTTCCATGCCCAGAGACACAGCTGGCTGAGGCATCAATGCTAAACAGCGTGCATATTGACCAAATTCTCTTATATCTTAGAGTCTTGCGAATACGGAGGGATACGTATGCGTTCCTAAGATACTTTCCGGTGTCCTTGATGGTATCGTGTGAAGTTTGCAGTTTACAGTCGCTGAAGTGATACAGCTACTGTTGCGCTGCGTACCCAATGAGGATCTTCAATGGTGAAAGGTCACACACCCTGTCTAAAATGGTCTTGGTACTCAGGTCGGACTGCCTGCCAAAAGTCATGCAATTAGAAATATCATATTGAGAATGAGTTTTGCTAACCGGGCAGTGTCAGTTGGCTATCCGGGCAATGTCCAACGCACATAAGCCCTTACATAGTATTTTAAAGCGATTGAATCTTTCTCGCTTTTATAGTTGTTATTCGTCGTCGTCCATCGTCGTCGTCTACATGTATCGTCTCCGTCTATCGTTAGATCGAAGTATAAGTATACTACGATTAAAGTCACAAGAGGCAATGCCCAGATAGCTAACTGAGACTGCCCCACTAGCAAAACACTTGAGAATAAATAAATGTACGTAACTCTCGTCTATGCGATAGTGAGCTGCAGGTAGAAATTAGCAGCCTTGCTAATTTAACGTATAACTCCGACTAGCGCTAGCGAGAAACCCCGTAGCTATTTAATGTTTGAGTTGCACTTTAGCCTTGTATTCAAATCCTAACTAGATTGAACATCAAGCTCGCTAAAGTCCCGGCTTCTCTACATAACCATCAATACCACCGGTCCTACGTAGTTGCATTTGAAATTGTAAATCTTGAGCTGGCAGTCTAATGTAGACCTCCATTCCAGATCATTTTGCTCACCAAAGATGAACATGAGTTTCCTCCACCAATCGTAGGACTATTCAATCGAGAATTCAGCAATGGCCTGGAGGGTGGAGTTGTCAAACTGAGAAGCATCCCAAATAGTGGTGACCTCGGTGATGAAGCCCTCAGGGTTGAGCAGAAGAGCTGTGATTCCGTTGTCGGCCCCGCTTCCAGAACGACCTTTCCACTCGTAGGCTCCACCCATGGCACTTCCAACAACGTGGCAGACGGCAGCACCGGAACCGTAGGGCAAAGTGGGCAGAGCTCTGTTCAGGTATCTTTCAATGGCCGCTTTGCCTTCAATGCGTGTGCGAGTGGTAAAGTCCTGTAGGACAGCATCGAAAGTCAGAAGGTCAGCCACGGCGGTGACATTACCCCCGGTAAGAGCTGCGTGAAGCTCATCTGCAGCGCGTTGGATACTCTGATTGGGTTGATATGCTACACTCGATTCGGCGAAGTCGGTGGGAACTGGTCGTCAGGTACGCGGTACGCCGAAACAGGGTTGAGGCGCGAGTCCCAGTAGTCGACCTGGCGCAAGACCTTGCCGTCGCGGAAGTTGAAAGCAGCGATCAAACGCATTTCCGCGCCAAAGACAGCCGGAGTGTCGACAAAAGTGACCACGGCGCTGTTGGCATCGCCAACGATTCGCAGTGGGTAGGACTTTGCATCCGCGGTCCAACCGGCAACAACGGGTTCGAAGGTTGCTAGAAGATCTGGCTGGGAAAAGAAGGTGCCTAAAGTTGCTCGACATAGACTCCTTCTGTGGTGTCAAAGTAGCCGATCCAGCGCTGAACGTCGTGGATACTCTTGGCCGTAAAGTACTCTTGGACGATGTTGACGGCTTCAGTTGTTGCATAGCGCGTGTCGGCAACGTCGGGATAAACAGCACCCGACTGGCGGTGAACGATGGTTGGACTGGCTACGGATAGTCCGGCGATTGCAGTCAGGAGGAACGTGGAGAGCATCTTGATGTGCGTGTTGGTTATGTGAAGTGCAGGATTAGGAACTTGAGCTGGTTGACAATTTCAAAGGGTTATAATGATCCAACTGTAACGGATAAGAAGTTGCTTTAATAATTTTGACTTGTTGCAAATGTAATTGACCGCAGACTACTGCAAGTATCGCCAAGCGTTCCATTCCTCGACTCATCTCACATTCCTCCGCTCAAGATGGGCATCGGGAAGACGAATGTTTCTTCCTCCCCGAGCCGCGCGCGATGCCAACGCCAAACGCTTTCTCATGTTCTAATGCCGCACGCGATATTGAGCCTAGATAAGTCTATGGTACTGGTTCCTGGTCATGCAGAGTCTTATGGCGGGTTCCTTGACTTGTGACTTCCTAATTGAATCGAGTATGGCGTTTTGCGCCTGCAGTTGAGCATTAGTACGATAACAAACAAGATTCTAGAATCCGTTTGTACACTTGAGATTCTTCTTGCCAAGCTCGGCTGTAAGATTATTGAGGTTTTTCCCGCCTCGTTGGGCAGACTATCTGGGCTTGGCAGCGGGCCGCTTCGGCAACTAGCAACGTTGTGCGACCGAACGGGAATTTCAACAACCCGACCGAGCGCTCCACACACGAGTGCTAGTCAGTGAGGTTATGATCACGCACGACGGTTCGTACTTGCTGAGCAGGCTTGTATCATCAGTGTAACAGTACAAAGAGCAGTCCGAAACAGCAGCTGTGATTTTTGTGATCTTCCTTGTGGTTAAGGTTATCGTTTCATTCACAACTATTCAGATACCGCTTTGGCAGAGGGCAAAAGCCATGGTCACCTATTTGCGGCTCCTGGCCGCTTTGGCTCACATCAACCCTCTCGCTGCTATGCCCACTAGCAACCAGTTGGTCAAGAGACAAACTAACAACACATGTACCCAGCCTTTGGTTCGGAAAGAATGGTGAGCGCTTGTCTTTCTTCGCACCCTCTTCTTTTTCCCACCCCTCTCGTTTTTGCACCAGCTCGGCAGTCATTGACTTATACGCAGGCGCACGCTTTCTACAGAAGACAGAAAGTCTTACATCGACACTGTCAAATGCTTATACAATAAGCCAGCCGTCAATTCAAAGGATATCCTGCCCGGGGTTACCAACCGTTATGAAGACTTTGTTGGAGACCATATCCTCCAGGCTTCTGCCAACCACTTTGTGGTAAGAGAGATCTATAAATCTAGATAAAAATATGCTCTTGTACTAACAGAACGTGTTTTTGTCTAGGGTCACTTTTATCCCTGGCACCGCTTGCTTGTATGGGCCTACGAGCGGGAGCTACGGCTTTGCGGATATGAAGGAGCTCAGCCATATTGGGACTGGTCATTGGATGCCGCAAGCTATGATGACATGCTCAAGTCCCCGGTCTTCGACCCTGACACAGGTTTCGGCGGGAACGGCGAATGGGTGCCTGGTACACCTGAGAACCCAGAACCTGGCGTCCCCTTGACCGGTGGCACCCTTGTCTTCAATATGTCCGATCGGACTGGAGGCGGTTGCATCCCGAACGGCCCTTTCGCCAACCTGACCCTCCATATGGGTCCCCAGAACAGTGTTGCTTACAACGAATGGTGCGTCCGAAGGGACTTCACCCCTAACCAATTTATGAGTCTCGGAAATGCGGCTTCGGTGGCGGAGGGAATGGCGCAGCCTGACTACGGACTTCTCAGCAAACTCACTGAAGATACCATCCACGGCGCTAGTCATCAGGGTGTTGGTGGTATGTATGGTGTCTTGAGCGATATCTGGGCCAGTCGTGAGTCGAACCCCTTTGAGCACCAATCCAAATTCGCCTGCTTACAATTAACAGCTGGTGATCCTCTTTTCTGGTTGCATCACTGCAACATTGATCGGTCATGGTGGTCCTGGCAATCGAGGAATTTGACGGAGCGTCTCCACGATATATCCGGCCCAATCACTCCTTTCGACCATGACAACCGTCTCGGTGGCAACGTCACTCTCGATTTCGAAGTCCGCACCAATTCAACTATCAATGTGAACCTTCCTATCAGGGACCTCATGGATATTGGCAACGACTTTCTTTGCTACACTTACGACTTCCTTTACTAAGGGCAATCAGCTAGCTTGAACGCAATGTCTTGCTTCACTTCCACCTACAGGAGCTTAGCTTCAACGCCCTACTCCGAAGCCTTCCCGTTCACCTTTTGTATGAATCAAGAATTATTAAGCAGCTCTCAACTTCAGATTTTAGAGGATAAAAACAATTACATCGCCGTGTCATCTGACCTCAAGCATGCCACTTTGAGGTCTTTCTAGTTCTATTCTTCCTGAAATTGTTGAATAGCCTTGCCAACATACCCTAGTGATCCTAGGCCCCTGATTTGGCGTCCTATGCCACAGGTCACACCCTTTGGAGAAAGCAATAGACGTGGATCAATACAAGCATGCGAAATTGCTCCAATACTGACAAGAAGGCTCATAATCGTAGTTCCCATGTTCAATACCCTGATTACAAGCTACCTCCACTACCAGGGATCCCTGGAGGAGAGATACAAGTTTCTGCATGGTATTGCTGTCTGTTGCCGGTGTTCATTGAACTCTATATTTGCAGTTCGCGGATGCGCCTTACCTGTAAGCTTTCCAGCTGCACATCTAGCTGTCCTCCTTCATTAGGTGAAAGCAACACACCGATGAGCTGCTTTTTTCTGCCCTGAACCTCTACAACATACATAGTGACACTATTGCGTATTACAAGATGAGCAACTCGCTGTGGTAGGCTTACGTAAATGTGGTAACATCTTGTCTCGGTTTCGAATTTTAGATGCAATTGTGTGTGCTTTTGGCGGCAGCCAACTGTCTCACCTAAGAGTACGCGTCGTCTGGTTGTACAATAGCTACAAGCCAAGTCGTAAGGCGTCCCACAGTACGTCATATCTTCAACCAACCTGTCACCGCTTTTCTAACTTTATCCTTTCTTCTCTAAATTAGAAGTCACGAAACTGCGCTGGACTTCCAGAGAACACACCATGATCGTATGACAGCTTAAGATACGGCAGTACTGCTACTTTCATTTGCTACCTCTACTTTACGTTCAACTTCACGACTACGATTACTAGGCCCATGGCATGGGATGCGAATCAGCACTAGGTCAGATATGTACAGCCAATGGCCACTCACTCCTGGCGCCGGACAATTCCGAGTTCTGGTTCTCCATCCCCCCACTACAGGTGGTGGTGATGATCAACTTCACGGAAGCCTCGTTGTCGCAAACCTCAAGCATGAGAAGGGAAGGTTCGAGACTCTCTCATATGTATGGGGCAGTAGTACTTTGCCACGAACGACCATACTTGTCGACCGTACCTCACTTCAGATCACCGCGAGCCTGGGCCCCTTTCTCCGATACCTTCGGAGAAATGACCGACCGCTTCGGTTGTGGGCAGACAGCATCTGTATCAATCAGGAGGATGACGAAGAGAAGTCCGAACAAGTCGCGCTTATGGCTGACATATACAATTCTTGCTCGCAAGTCAACGTCTGGCTCCCTGATCCCACACACAATGTCGGCACACCACCCAGTAACAAGAGCGTTGGTAGTCTTGGAGATCTGTGCTCCCTCATAGCCGGGGACCATTTTCACGATGTGCCAGGTTACCATGTCTCCGAGCGCACTGGAAGATTCAAATTTACAGAGACAGCCGAGTTTGATGCTCTTTGGGACGGGTTTCTGCTCCTCGCAAATAGCTCGTGGTGGACCAGGGCTTGGACTGCGCAAGAAGCATTCCTACCGCCGCGGGTCATTTTCCTTCACTATGCAGCAGACAGCTGTGATATCAAGGTTATAGACGCAAGTCATGAGCGTCTTTGGCAGCATCGAGATCGCCTGAGGTCGTGTTGTACAGAGGCCATCGATCTCTTCCCCGAAGGAAGGATGACACAGCTCAACAAGTTTTACCAGGCTTTTGCCAAGGTACAGCACCGCCGCGAGGTTCTAATCGGGCGGCGTTCGAAGGACGGGAGAGATTTCTTCTACAACATTGTGACGAGCTTTTCCAGCCGGCAGTGCCACGACGTACGGGATAGGATCTACTCTCTCTGGAGCATGACGCCCTCTTTCTACAAGGACTGCCCTCTCGACTATGCCATTCCGGAAGGTGTTGTTTTCACCTCGGTTTTCGAGTGCATGCTGAGGGAAGCGAAGTATTCTAGGGGGTATCTCAACAACTTTCTCGGCTGGGGAATAGACTACCGTGTTCTCCAATGGATAAACTATGGGCCAGATTCCACAACAGCCAACTGTAGACCCTCCTGGGTGCCAGACTTTTCAAAGAGCTGGAGTCACGAGGCACTTCACGCACATCAAGGGAGGATCGGATTTTCGAAGCTGTATCAGCCTTCGGGGTGGTCGAGAGGGTATGTCAAGGTTCTGGGGAGGCAATTGCATCTCAAAGGCTTTCTTATGGACAAGGTTCGAGTTCTTGGGGAGATGGTTGACGATCCTACGAGCCCTGAGTCATTGACGAAAGCCCTTTCTCAGTGGAGTTGCCTACTCAGAGAAAGTGGCTTCGACAGCGACACCACCGAAAGTGTGTCTTACGAGCAGTTAGCCGCCTTGTTATGCGCGGATATTATCAGAGAAAGGATGTCAGATGACCAATTTGCAGCCTGGAGGCGTAGGTTTGTAGCTCAAAAAATCTGGAAAGCCAACATCTTGGCGATGTTTTTCGAGTATGCCTTCAATGTTATAGCAAGGTCTGAACATTGGCGACGCCTTCGGGCGGAAGAGTGCCCGGAGAGGCAAGAGCTGGAGGCGATTATTGACACCGGTGATCTGAACTGCTTCTCAGACGGGCGCTATCGTTCTGCTGTATGCATTTCTCTGAATCAACGAGCACTTTACATCACGGAACATGGGCGAATTGGTCTCTGTTCACCGCAAGCAACGGCTGGAGATGAAATTTGGGGCGTCTACGGATTCCGAGTTCCATTTGTTTTTCGGGCGTCAGATGGGAGTGGGGAATCGAAAGTGCACAACATGATAGGAGATTGCTATCTGCAAGGTGCCATGGACGGCGAGCTTTTACCTCCTAGGGGCAGAGGCAGCACTGTTGTAAAGTTGGTCTGAAAGTCATTGATGCAGGCGATGTGAAACCTCAGAAAGATTTATGCAGAGCGGAATCAAAACATCTTAAGGTGATGGTAAGATGAAAGGCTATAGACGTTCTATTTGAAAACCTTGGTAGTCTCATGATTAGCTTCAGCTCGCTCGCTAACTAATCCAATGTCATTTAGCCTCATCTGCACCCTTCCAGCCACTAATGAAGCCTAGACCCTCGATTATAGCCCAGCAAAGGTGAACTTCGAGAATCGAAAGTAGTTGGAAGGTGCTTTTGTTTTCACTTTCCATTGGTGTCCTTCCTGAAATACCTTACTATGAGATCTCTCGCCCCATGTTGCGAAATTCTTCACGCCACAAGCTTTGTCCCAAGCTGCTGCATCAATAATGCTCAAAACTGTATACCGAATCACTGAGTCCATTCTCTCCGCCTCTCTTGTGGATTTTGTCTGTTCACTCCGGCTCTTGTCACAAGTATGGACGTGTCTGTCTTGGACTTCTTTGCTGGAGTAGACGCTGCCATTCTGCATTGGTAAAGTCTGAGCCGTTGCTCGGCGCCCCTGTGTTACCACTCTCTCGCCGAAATGAATGCCAAATTGGGTCATACTCACCTCCTCAACACAGCTGGCCTCCGTCTTTGCTGCAAGATGTCCCTCGTTGACCCATAACGCCTTCCAGGCCGTGGGTACGTTAACCGTGCCAAGGTAGCCTGCTTGCGCTTACATGGGCGTCTGGCATTTGAGTGGTCAACCTGCAACAAAGCTGAGATGCCGACTTGCCGTAATAAGCAAGGCCCATCAGCCGAGCGACGGCCAAAATTTGTTTTGATTTGCGAGATGCAGCCTTCCGCGATATCAATCACCGATGCATACGGTGTGATGTATGATGCTATCTTTGTCGCCATGGTTGTCTTGCAGTCATCCTTCTCTGTTGCTGATGGTGCCCAGTCATAAGCCAGTATTGGATTAGCCGCCAAACGTGTAGCAGAGATGATAGATGCAAGGGAATTGGGTGGCAAGTATTGTCATATTTGTCCGACATCCCAGTACGGCTGAGACTAGGTGGCGCTCTCAAGGACGGAGGGAACGATAAGGAAGGCATAGAGCTCCGGAATCGCGGGCCAGCTGACCAATCTGCAGCCTGATTCTATAGTTTCATTCTTGAACATCAGGCTCGTAATGCCATCACCGGTCGCTTGAGATTGGTGGTTTGAGGTTACATTATAGAGCTTTCTTCTGACGTCCATGAGAGAGCCTGCCTTAGAAGTACTGCTTGAGGCATTCCTGCGGCACAGACGCTTTCCCAAGCACCCTGCGTTGATGAGCAGGCTATTCGAATGTCATATAGAGATGGGGCCCCTTTAACAAATTTTGATTGAGACCTTGCAGGTCAATTTTCAGGTGCACGTTATGTCGTTCAACAGGTTGTCTCTCGCTCAGCCAGCACTTTCAGCATGAAACTTCCCCTCAGATCCCCCTTCTCCGAGGCCCTGATCCCTCGCGATCTATGGAGACGGGGCGCTCTGTCCTTTGCCGCTGCGGCACTTTTCACATTCATAGTGAACTTCTCCTTCGCTATCTGGACGATGACAAAGGAGGCCCCCGATGGCGTCGGTCTCATCTGGGAGGGTGGACAGACGATCGTGAAAGCTTGGAATACAGCCATGCACATCGTCATCAATATCATCAGCACCATTCTGCTTGCGGGAAGTAACTATTGCATGCAATGCTTGATGGCGCCAACGCGAAGCGAGCTTGATAAGGCTCACTCGGAGAGAAGATGGCTTGATGTTGGGATACCGACAATTCGAAACTTCAAGAGTATTACTTTACGAAGAAAAGTGCTCTGGATCATGTTGTCAATATCGTCATTTCCATTACATCTACTGTACGAAGCTCTTTGTCCTGGCGGGGAATTGGCTGTGGTAACCTGGCTGCAGTTTCAACTCCGTCATCTTCGCATCGATTTCGACGAATGAGTACTCTGTGTTTGTTGTAAGCGAGCAATCGGTGTCGGGTAGGGATTCAACGTCATTGCCAGATACACTCGACACGAGTCTCCTTCCTAGGACCGAGTACCTCTACTCTTTTCCAAATGCGACGTTCGAATACCGCGCCGCTACCACCTGCCTCGAAGACTATGGCATCGCGTTCCAATCTAAGCGGGGAAGCCTCGTCCTCGTAACCAATTCCACGGGCGTCAACGTCACATACGTTCAATACCGAGCATCCACGAAGGACGCGGCAGGTGTATCCGGATCGTTCAGCTGGTTATGCGAAGAAAAAGTAACGAATTAGTATGATCCAGACGATACCCCTTGTGACGAGAAGGTCGTCAACACGAAGGAAGGTTCCATTCCGTGGAAGCCGTTTGGCCTCGACGTTCGAGGCTGTTACAACAAAGAGACATTCGAGCATTCGAAGCTGTTTTTCAGTCGGGCGATCTGCTGCGTCGTGACCACACTTAACTTGGCCAAGGCTATGCTCATGCTCTTCGTTGCATATGATGGTATTGGCAACATCGAGCAGCCCATCTTGACAGTAGGAGATGCCGTTGCATCATATCTTCAGGATCCAGATGACCACACACGGAAGATGTGTCTCAAGTCAAAGAAATGCTTCGCCAAAGAGAACTGGGAGCCGAGCCCCAAATACTTTGACCCTACACGTCACCGAAAATTCAGCGGTGGTAGTATCAGTAGTTGGGTTGTTTGCGTTTCCCTGTGAGTATGCTCTCTCCTCCCGCCCAGAGGGATGTACTAACACCAGTTTAAGATGAGTGCTAGCTCTGTGCGTTTGTGGCGGCCTACTAGGGTTCGGGCTTGCGGATCTTCGTGAGCAGATTTCGCCGGCGCCAGTGTCACTGGAAAAGTACGGGCCTGGCGTCGTCCACAGCGACACTATCATGAAAGTCTTCAACCCCAAGCGGAATGTCCTCATTCTGAGTGTAATCTTGGCCAACATCCCACAAGTCCTCATGTCACTCATCTATTTCAACTACCACGCCTTTTTCACCTGCATATCCCTAGCTGACGAATGGGACAGGTTCTTCGGCGGAAAAAAGAAAGGCTTCAGAGTGTCAACCTGGCCTCAGGGCCATCAGCGACAGACGTACTTCCTCCAACTCCCGTACCGTTACTCGTTGGCACTTGCCGCGTTCTCTGGTGGTCTCCACTGGCTTATTTCGCAGAGTATATTTCTCATCAGGGTAGAGTCTTATGACGATGACGATAAGTTCTCGAATGAAAACACTTTTTCCGAGTGGTCGCCTGTTGGGATTATTCTCGTCATGGTTGCAGGGGCTGTCCTGATTGCATTTCTCGTCACTTCCGGCTATTTTCGTCTGCGTCACGGCGGAATTCCCTGTGGTGGGTAGCTGCAGTGCGGCAATAGCTGCGGCCTGCCATGCGGACCCATCAGAAAGGGATTCTTTGGCGACCTTCACTCTGAGTTGGGGTGTTGTTTCTGGAAAAGACGTCGAGCCGGGCCACTGCTCATTTACGAGCAAAGACGCTGAGAAGCCGGTGGAGGGCTGTCTTTACGAGTGAACAGGATTCAAGCCGAAGGCTTTAGGTCTCAGTAGGTAAATTAAGTGGGATTGCCGACAGATGATCACGGCATTGGAGGAGGACCAAGGGGTTGCTTCTAACCAAAGATTTGTGTCGCCTTGCTGAGGGTGGTTATGCTATTAAGGATACAACATTAAGACCACTCGACAGATATTCACATCATGATTCGGCGGTGCGAAAAGAATGTGGGAAACGAACTTGAAATTATCGAGACTCTATCTCATCCCTCTCAAGCCCCAAACCCATCAAACGCAAAACACTCTAAATCTCCTTCACAAACCCAACCTCAACAACCCTCTCCATCGCCAGCCTCAAATTCGCAATCTTGGCCCGCGTATTATCCCTCATCCACAAAAACGTGCCCAACACAATCCTCCTGAAAATATTGGTGCCCGTGCGAATGTGCATCTGCCCCTTGCCCACAATGTACAGCACCTTGTGCGCATACGCGCGGTCCAGCTTCGCCAGCTCCGCCGCGACCCGCTCGTCCTTCAGCTCCGTCGGGCCCTCCGTCTCCTCCCACTCCGTCGCCGTGCCAGACGTGTTGGTCTCCTGCTCGCTGGCGGTGGCGGCCTTCGCGGCCGCCTGGCGGACGACGAAACGCCGGATCTGCTCGTAGATGAGCGCGCCCAGGTCCGGGGAGACGACCTCGTCCATGAACCCGTGGCGGACCACGAGGCGGTAGCAGCCTGGGATGTTGGCGAAGCGCGAGATGTGGTAGCGCTCGGCGTCGGGGACGGAGGGCACCTCGACGGGGTGCAGGTGGAAGAAGACGGCAACGTCAGGCAGCGCGCCGAGCTTGGAGGCGAAGTGTGTGAAGACGCTCGGCGTCTGGATGCCCGTCTTGTCGAAGAAGATGCCGAACCCGCTGACGGGGGAGAGCAGGTCGCCGCCCCAGCGGGGTGTGAGCTTCAACCCCCCATCCGCGGCCTTGGCGAGCAGAGACGAGGGCTGGAAGCGGTCCTCCTTCTCGGCGCGCCACTGGTTCTCCTTGCCGAAGCGCCAGAGGAGGAACATGCCGGCCATGAGGGCGGAGATCATGAGGGTGAACCAGGCGCCGTCGGGGACCTTGTTGAGGGCGGAGGAGAGGTAGAGGCCGTCGAGGGTGGCGAAGGCGAGGAAGGGCAGGAAGATGATCCAGACGGGCAAGCGCCAGACGAGGATGGCGACGAGGGTGACCATGAGGGTGTCGAAGAAGGTGACGAAGATGACGCAGACGCCGTAGGCGTGGCCGAGGGAGGTGGTGTTGTTGTACACGGCCGTAACGAGGATGGTGCCGAGCATGAGCAGCCAGTTGAGCAGAGGGACATAGACCTGGCCGTGGAAGGTGGACGAGGTGTGGACGACCTTCATCTGCGGGCAGTAGGAGAGCTTCATGATCTGGGAGGAGAGCTGGAAGGTGGCGGTGATGATGGCCTGGGAGGCGACGATGGCGGCGAGGACGGCGAGGATGAGGGAGGGGTAGAGCATGCCGGGGGGCACGGTGTTGAAGAAGGGGTGGTTGGTGTACTTTTCGGGGAAGAGGGCGAGGTGGGCGGCCTGGCCGGAGTAGGCGAGGATGAGGCAGGGGTAGGTCCAGAGCAGCCAGCTCATCTGCACGGCGCGCATGCTGAAGGCGCCGAGGTCGGCGAAGAGGGCCTCGACACCGGTGAAGCAGAGGAGGACGCCGCCGAGCATGCGCCAGCCCTCGGTCTTCTTCTCCATGAAGAAGTGGATGGCGTAGTAGGGGGAGAAGGCCTTGAGGACGGTGTAGTCGTACTTGACGAGGTTGTAGATGCCGAAGGCGCCGTTGAAGCCGAGCCAGACGATGACGATGGGGGCGAAGGCGCCGGCGAGCTTTGTGGTGCCGAGGGGCTGGATGAGGAAGAGCAGGACGAGGATGCCGCAGGTGGTGCCGACGATGGTGGAGGTGCTGATGTCGGGCTTGACGACGGAGAGGCCCTGGATGGCGCCGAGGACGGACTGGGCGGGGGTGAGGATGCCGTCGGCGATGACCATGGAGACGGCGAGGACGCCGATGGTCTTGAGGAAGCCGCGGGTGAATTTGGACTTTTCGATGGCGGAGCGGATGCCGCGGGTGACGGGGCGGACGTCCTGGGTGTTGAAGCGCTCGAAGTTGAGGGTGGCCTCCTCGCGGGGGTCGACGGTGGTGATGTTTGCGAAGCGGGTGAGGAGGGAGTAGCAGGAGAAGGTGCCGCCCTCGCCCTCGTTGTCGGCGTGGAGGACGATGAAGACGTATTTGACGGTGACCATGAGCGTGAGGGACCAGATGATGAGGGAGAGGACCTGGGTGAGGTCGTTCTTGGTGGGGACGTCGGTGAAGGTGGAGGAGTACACGTAGAGGGGACTGATGGACGTGTAAGTAGGCGTGATGATGGGCGTTTGCGATGATGCTTACCTTGTTCCAATGTCGCCGTAAATAACACCTATCGACTGATACGCAAGCCTATTGTCATCATGTTAGTGCCACGTCGCGTTCCTGGACCACACTCATCACGAACCAAATCAGAGTCGTCCCCGTAAAGATCTGCTTCTTCCTCCCATCATCGCGCCTCCAATCGTCTCCGCCCTCGTCGACTTCAACAGTCGAGTCCCTGGTACGCGCGCGCGAGAGACTGCGGGCGCGGCCCCTGGACCCGACGCGGTCGAGGTCGCGGCCAAAGTAGATGCCGCCGGCGACGCCGGTGCTCGATCCGACGTCAGGACGCTGCCATTTCTGCCACTCGTCAATGGTCGAGCTCGACGTGACGCGGTCGGGCTTCTCGAGGTTGTCGTCGAAGTTGATTCTCTGCGGGGTGAGCGCGTTTGGATCGGCCATGCCAGGCGCTGCAAACGTCTAATTCGTGTGGGAAGGAGGTGAAGAGAAGACGGGAGTGAGAGTGGAAGAGGGAAAGGCGCCGGCGCAAAGCACAGCGTGGGAGGTGGTGAGCGTGGCAGAATAGCAGAGCCGGTTCCCGGAGGGAGGTTGCAGCAGATCAGCAGAACAGAGAGATGATGACAGAAGCCGGAGGTCTTTTAGAACCGTCTACGTGGGTAATGGGTGGTAGGGGGATGGGATGGGCTCTTTAAGTCGGGCAGACGTTGGGGGCGTTCGCGCCGGCGCGCCGATGCCCTGGCCCTAATCTCACGATGATTTGTGCCTGTCTCGAGACAAGAGACAAGACAAAGGGCAGATTGCCGTATCGGAGCAGTGGGGGTACATCCATGAGGGATCTCGGTTCATCTTTGCCCATCTTCGGGGTCTCACTCTCTCACTCTCCCATGGATGACGGGGGACTGGGGATGGGCCACCACCCAAGGCGGTCTGGCTAGTGCGGCGGGAAAGGCTCGATACCAGATGCATCCATGGCGCGTGGCGTGCGGACGGTCTTCTTTCTTGCCTAGTTTGCCCTGGTGCCGAAAAGTTGCCCATTCTGCACGTAGATTTGAGGGTTAGAGGCCAGGATCCAGCCCTCTTCGTAGTCTCTCGTTCACTCCCACCTCTCTTCCTCTCCCCTGGGACGCCCATCGGCGGTGGCCCGTGTCGTTCGGGTGAGCCCTCGAGTCTACGCAGTAGCGCCGCTTGCACATGCAACATGCGAGGGCTAATCTTGGACGATGACGGGGGCGCCGCGCATGGCTGGCAGGGAAGGTTTATCAGAGGCTCTCGTTGACAGAAACATGATTGTCACAAGCTGCAGGAGAGACGCAGAGCTGGGACGGGGGGGTCTGGCCTTTGGGGTAAGGCAGGTAGGCAGGCTGTTCGGGAGGAGGGAACGGCTTAGCGCGCATCCATGGCGTGTGGCATGTTATTTGCTCTCTCCCACAGAGTGGTCTAATAAGGCATGCCGGGTAGCCCAGAGGCCGGACGATGCAAGAGAGCTGTACGAAGTGTGAAGAAACGGGCGCCCGCTGCGGTGCCGATGGCCGCTGGTCATGGACTGAAGTTGGGAACCTGCAGGGGTAGCTCGGACCAGGGGGGTAGGTAACGGATGGAAGCGGGGATGGGGGAGGATGAGGCTTCTTCTTCATGGGCAAAAAGGAAAGAAAAGAAAAGGATGGTGGGCACGAGTCGGAGGGAAGGGACGTGTTTGCAAGGGAGACGTGAAGCATGTATGAACGAGTGGCTCGGAACGGCCTTTGCGATGATGACAGATGTTGCGCAAGACAATGGGCGGGAAGGCCGTCCTTCTTGTCGTTATTGTCTCTATTGTCTTTTCACCTCTGCTTTGTTAGTCTCGAGGTTTTAGTCTTTTTTTTCCCCCCGCGCGAGGGCGAGTCCAGGCGGTCTGATGACTGTTGGTGGGTGGGAGGCCGCTTACACGTGCCAGCAGACTGCAGCGCGTACGAGACAGCCCGCGCATGTTTGTCTCCCATGCAGCAGCCAGCGGGTCAGAAAGGAGCCAAGTTGCGGGCGTCGGAGAGATGCAATGGCTGCGGAGCTTTCAGGGCCGTACAGACGTTTAGATGAGGGGACAGAAGAGGGGCGGTCTCGAGAAGTAGAGCCCCTTGTTGATCGGCTCTTCAAGTGAAGACCGAGTAATATTCGTGTCGTTGGTAACAGCAGAAACAGCCATCAACATAATGCCTCATTGCAGATTTTCTGCCGTGTCCCGTTCGTCGACGGCAGGGCCCTGTTTTTATCTCTGGCTAGGATCTGCAGCGAGGAAGACCCCGGTCGAAAAAGAGTGGACGGTCAGAAAGAAGAGACGAAAAAGGGAACGGTTATGGCCGGTGGGCAGAAGAGAGAGAGACACAGAGAGAGAGAGAGGGGAGGCAGCCCAAACATTCCATCGCAACAGACACAGACAGAGACACAGACGAAGGG